AAGCTACTTGCGCCATAGGCGGACAAGCGAACATGCAATTGCCGTGGCAGCAAAAGTTTCAATGCTGCAAAGTAGGAGCGGTACATGACTTCACTGCTTTCAAAAGTGCATTTGTACGCCAAGGTGATATGAGGCACATGCACAGGAATCGCATATGAAGGAAAGTCTGGCCACAAGGAGATGTAAAAGAACAAGGCGCCGTCATCATCAGTTCGCATGGTGTAGTTTAGCATGCCAGGCCCAATGGAGACTTTTAGTCCCTGTACAAGGGCAAGCTCCAGCCATTCATCACGAAACAGCGACCAGTACGCTTGGCTCACATGGTCAGAGGCCACCACTTGCCGCGAGCGCATCCAAGAACTCTGCGCAGCAGGTTCACCTTGCAAAGGCAGAGTCGCAGGGCGATCCTCACGACGAGCCATGATGAGGGGCAAATGGATGAGAGGGCAAATGGATGAACCAAACCAGCTGCCAAGAATCTGACAAGATCATGAAAAAATGGAGCCAGCCACAAAACATTTGCATCAAAGCTTTTGGCTGGCTAGCCAGCCTTTCTACAGGGTGCGGGCTAGCCCATCCAAATCTATTTGCATCATAGCACCAGAAAAAAAAGGACATTTGTCACGAAAAACAGGCCAAATCCCACGAACAGAACTTACCAGCAGCTCCCCGTCCGTCTGTCTCGGGGAGAAGGACTCATCCGCCAATGTGTCCCACAGGACCCTTGGAATGCGGTCCCAAAGACGAGTGTAAGGCGGGCGCAAAAGAAACTTGGTAGAAACCCTAGCCATGATGAAAAAGGGGGGGTTCGAGCCTCCAATCGAACGGCCGGGACCCAACCGCGGCAAACTGCATTCATGTTCCAACCGCGCAGGATGCCGAGTGCAAAAGGAGCAGGCAGGCCACACGCAGCCCCAACCGGACCAAAAGTCAACCCCCGGAAATCCCCAAAAACACGGAGGGGGGAAGACCAACCCGACGGGGGATTCCCCAAAAACCCCCAAGGGGACCTCAGGGAACCAAGAGTCAGCCGCAGCCACTTTCTCCAAACTGTGGCTGATATGGCCCGTCCTTGGGGCAGCCAATGCATGCAGCCTCCAGATCGAGGCAAACCGGCTGTCGTGACGTGTTGAACAGGGGGGAAACCAAGGTGAAAGATGAACCCAAAAGGAGGCACCCTAACTCCTCCCCCCACCCGAGACGGGGCCGAAGGCACCCAAGTCCCGGCGGGAAGAGATCACACGACTCCACATCCAGAAGGGTTGTGAGACACGACCTAGCGGCTCTCACCCTTCAAGATCGCCTCCTTTGCCACGGAGTGGATGGCCGCCAGCCCTGACTTCTCCGGGTTGCTCAAAATGACCGACCACAAGGCAGTGGAGACATCCCCCAGGCCATTCGAAGAGCTGAAGCGCATGCGCGGGGTGCTCGCGTCGCCCAGGACTAGCCGCTCGTCCCTGAAAGGCTCCGTCGGCTCCACCCTCTTGTAGAACTCCATCCTGTCACGGATCCACTGATTATATAACTGCTCCGGGGGCTCGTCCATCACCAGCTGCAAGCATGTGGCCTTGTCTTTGTGCCACCCCGTGATCTGGAGCAGCCTGGTCCCCCCGCGGCTTGCCCTCCAGAAGCCCTTGCAAAACCTGCACATGTAGCCCCCGGTGGTCTTGAACTTCTCCTTGCCCACCACTTCCCAGGTGCTGATGCTGGGCAAGACCAAGCCACACTCCACGGAGGCCCAAAACACATGCTTCGTCTCCTTGGGGAAGTGCTTGTTGATGTACTTCCGGCCCGCGACCGCCGTGACCGTGGCCGTGGTGATGGGCGGGTATCGCCTGGTGCCCTGGTCCGGTGTGCGGAGCGTGGTGTCTGCCCCCCCCAGAACCTTGGCCTTGGGGTCCGCCTCCTTGGCCGCTCCTCCCCCGGGGCCAGAGGCACCCAAAGGGGGGGAGCAACCCAGCTGCCTGATGAGGTCCTGGGAGTAGCCCAACCTGTCGTACAAGGCCCCCGCCGCCTCCTGCGGGACCTGCTCGACCCAGTCGTGGACCACGTTGCAACGCCAGTTGACCTTCACCTCCACCATGGAGGACTTGCTCAGGCCCGACACCAACTTGGTGTAGACCGAGTCGAAAGCCCTCAGCGATGACAGCGGGAGGGTGATCCGCTCGTCGCAGACCGCCCTGAAACGCAGCGCCTCCTTGCTGTCGTGGACGGGGGCCACTGGGATCTCCATCACCGGCAACGGGCAGTTGACGATGAAATTCTTGGCCGCCAGAAACGTCCCCATCTCCTTGAAGATGTAGCTCCATTCCGCCTTGCTGCGCGGCTTGGGGATGCCCAGGCTCTCCAGGAAGGGCACCGCCTCCTTCCTCATCTGGAGGATGTTGCCCATCCACTTGTCCGAGGTCGAGCCCTCCGCATTGCGGCCCCGGCGCTGCGTCTTCACGATCAGCGGGAAAGTGGTCCAGGCCGAGTAGATGTACTTGAAAGTGAACCTGTGGGCGTACACCCCCGTCAGGCTCGGCAGGTCCCACGTTCTCGTCTGCCTGGTCCAAAACACCCCATCACCTTTTGCCCAGAAGATCCCCACCACCTGCTCCGGCGCCGGGCGCTCGCCCCGGTTCACCTGCGCTCGGATCTCCAAGGCCGTGTAGATGACTGGGTCGATGTGGTCCTGCTCGCACGTGAGTGGGTGAGTCCTGCGCTCCAGGGCCAGGAGCTCCTCCGGCGTGAGCTTGAACTGCTGGTCAGCGCCCTTGGGGATCTCACCGCTTGAGTGCTTCTTCCAGATCCCCCCAAACATCCGTAGCTCCCCCTGGTGCCTCTTCATCGCCCAGAGGAGCAGGGACAGCTTGCCCTCCTCCGAGTCCAGGTCCTGCTGTGACATTGGCTGGTCCCCCCCGTTCCAGTGGGTGCCGCCAGATCGGGCATCTCCTCCAGCAGCTCCTGGTGCCATGGGTTCTGCGACTCTCTGAGCCTCCTGATGTAGGGGACATACTTCTCCTTGATGTCACCCACGTTGGGGATGTCCTCTGGGTCATCCAGCTCCAGGGGGCAGAATAGCCCCCTCTCCGAGATCATCCGGCCACGCCGACACTTCCAAGGGCTTGAGAGTGTGGTTAAGCATCCATGCCTGGTTGGTGTCCTGGGTGCGCTTGTTCGCCTCCTGAGCCTCCTGAATGGAGCCCATCGCCTCAGCCAGTGCCTGGCTGGCGTCAACGCCCTTCCCCTCCAGGTACTGGTCTCGCAGCTTGGCCTTGAATCGCTCCAGGTTGACCTTCCTGAGGGCACGGGCTCCCTCATTGGCCACCTCCTCTGACGGCAGGGCCATGCCCTCCTGGAGAGGCGCCAGGATAGCCATCTCATTGTCCAGCATCTCATCCGTGACCAACTCCTTGTGCCGTCGCCTGGCCGAGGACTCCTCCGGGGTCAGTTCCCGATGCTCCCTCAAGGCCTTATGCAGCTCCTCCTTCTTCCGGATCGCCTGGTCCACCTGGGGGTGGTAGAGCTGGAAGCTCTGAGCCTCCGCCTCCTTCAGGGACCGCTGCACTTTGACCTTGATCTCCTGGCATTCCCGGACCTTCAACGCCTTGTCGTCCGCCTCCATGGACAGGATCTCCTGCCGGATGTCCACCCGCCTGTTGAGCGGGACCACGTCTGCCACGGTGATCTCCTCTGCCGTGTCCGTTCTCGGAGGAGCTCTCCCCAGGACCGTGCCATCCACCAGGTTGCGGTCTGCCTGTGCCCGGGTACCACCGGGGCCAGCGGCACCCAGGCTTCCCCCTTCCCGCTGCTGGATCCAGGTCGGCTTGCCCTCCACAATGAGCAGGTTGTAGGTGATGCCGTCCGCCTCATAGGTAGCCGAGGGTGCCTGGAAGGGGACGAACTCCTTGCCTGGGCAGACCCAACACTGCTTGGCTGCCTCTGGCCACCCCGTGCCGCATGCCTTGCACATGAACTTGTAATCTGAGTGGCCTGCATCGAGTCTGTGCATCCGCTGGGTGCCAATGCACGCCTTGTTCCTCTGGAACTGCGAGGCCCAGACCTCCTCCTGCCGGATCTGGATCTTCATCGGGACATAGGCCTCCAGGATACGAATCACCAGGTCCTCCGTGAGATTCTTCCCGACAAACTTGTGGAACAGGGAGACCGCCTCCTCCACCGTGACGTCCCTCAGCAACGTGGCCGCCGATGCCGGAAGGACCGGGAAGGTCTGGGAGGTCCACTAGCTTGAAGTAGCCGGGACGGCCCTCCACCGGCACTAGGGAGACCGGTTTGTTCACATGAGCCGTGGTCTTCTGGGAAGCCGCCACGAAACCCTTCAGCCTCTTCGTGGGTGGTGTCTGTGCCTCCTCCAGTGGAGTAGCCCGCTCCGTGACGTCCGCATCTTCCATGTCCTTGTCCTCCTCCTCGGCGGGGCCAGGGGCACCCAAGCCGGAAGTCGGTGTGGCAAACGCCACACGGAGACGCTCCAGTGCACTGGAGAGGTCATTCATCACGTCGGTAGCCGAAGCCGACGGGGGGGACTCGGGCTCGTCCAACACCAGGACGGCCGCCACTGCCGCCTCGCGTGTGCGAATTTCCTGGGCCTCCTGGCTGGCCATTTCCACCTCCTCCGCGGTGAGCGTCTGGTCCTCAATCAGCTCGAAGGAGGTTGCCGAGGTTGCCGAGGAAGCCATTGCTTGATCGGGGTTAGTTCGAGGGTGTTCAAACTCAAATCTTTTTTCACACAAATTGGGTTCAAAGAACCCAGGGCAAAGCTTGAGCCAAAATGGCATGCGCCATTATGGTCAAGCATTTCAAACACAGTTCATGTTTCCACATGCGTTTCAACATTAACAAATAATCCCACTTAAACACGGTAGTAGAACCATCTGGACCCTCAAACTACCCAAAGAAAGGGAACGCACCCCAACATGCTGGGGCAAGAACCCATTGTTCAGGGTATTTGGAGGGTCCAGGTCCCTAAAATGGCCCGTGAAAATCTGTCCGGCGCTCACCTGGCAGGGATCGCCTTCCATCCAGTAGCAGTCCGCCGGCACAATGTCCCCACCGCGCATGAAGAGCACATCCCCGGGCACCACCTGCCCGTTTGAAGGGAACACCTGAAAAACCCTACCCCTTGAAGGGCTGGGGGGCCCTAATTTTTTGGTGCAAGCTCATGTTGTTGGGAGAGCAGCTGGGTTCTGGCGTGATGGAAGTGAACAGCACGTTGAAGAACAAAGAAATAGACCAAACTGAGCTCGCAATGGGCCTTCAAACCATCGCGGTGAACCGCTATTGGCACTTGAATACGTGTCAAAATAGGTTGGCCCAACAATTGTGGTCGTCCTTTAGGTTTCACTTCCAACCACCCTGAAAGGGGCACTCTCTCAAAACAAGGGCAACAGATATGTTTTCAGCCATCGATTCCCTTGCGGGCAGAGCTACGCTGAAACGACCGCCCGTGTTCGTTGGAAGCGCGCTCCTGCACGACGGGGATGCTGTCGAACTTGCCGTTTCGCTTCACCGGCATCTTCTTCTCGAGACCTGCCTTCAAAGCGTCCACGGAGGCCTGCGCGCTCTTCCTCAGCCCAGCAGATGTTGATGAGGAAAAAAACCGGTGCGGGTTGTTTCCGTTGGTCGATTTTAAAGGGACGCCATGACCCAACAAAAGTTTGAAAGGAAAAAAGGAATGCCAATTGGTAACAGGGCTTCTCTTCAAAGAATCCCAAGGTGCCGTTAGTGATCAACAAGACCATGATGATGGTGAAGTCCGGCCAGTTGTGAATCAAGAAGCACAACAATGCAGCACCCTCGATCATGATCTGCATGGGTCCAGTGAATTGTTTCAAGAACATCTTCCACAAAGGTTCCTTCTCCTCGGGCACTTCATTCAGGCCATACTTCTTCACCATCTCGGCCACCTCGGCATCTGTGAGGCCCTTCAAGAGCGATTCCTTGTCCTCGGCTACCAGGAAATGGCTTTTTATGTGATCACCCCTGGGGTTTGACTATGGGCAGAAGCCGAATTGGATTGACGTGGTTGACAAAAGATGGCCCATACAGCCCAAACGAACAAAAAGGTTGGCCAAGTGTCACTGTCTAGCTTGGAGAGCGCAAAAGGTGGAGGCAGGGGCCCCGCCGGCGCATCGTCCATCTGCTTATAGTCGCCCATGGTCATCCCGGAAGGATCGGATTGAGTGCTTCGGATGTCCAATTCTGATTCTCTAAACTCACTGAGCCGAAGACCAAGTGCCGGGAGCAGTTGCCATCCGTGCCACTCATTTGGCTCGAAGCGAAAGTGTGTCCCACTCTGAAAGATGTGAGGGTGCACGTACCTGCTTTATCATGTCTCCAGCTGTCACTCCGCCAGCCAAAGATGTCAAACCTAATTTAGAGGTCCAGTTTCTTGTTAAGCAGTTAAGGGGTTTTAGAGGTTGTGTTTTTTAGTGCTCTGCAGAGATGGGCTCCGGAGTGCTTCGGAGAAGAGCTCCGGGCTAGGGTTTTAGAAGGGTTCGGAGGGACGTTGGGGATGCTTTTGGATGTCCCACTAGGTTTGCTGCTTGTTCTCTTGTGTTTTCCCCTTTGCAACCCCGTGCGATTTAATTAGAAGAAGTATACTCCCGCAATCATTGAATCATGAGCAAAGCTGGCTTTCAAGTACCCCAGAACGCCAAGCTAGGATCAAGACGTTGCCCCTGCCTCAGTCTCGCACACACAAGGAAAATGTGGGGTCCGTTGCACGGATTCTTTGATACAGATTGAATGTTCAAACCAGCAAATCCTTGCCTTGGATCTCCGTTGATCCGTGCAACACATACCCCAAAACACACTCGCCCTGCTGAGGGCGTTTTTTGCAAGCCCTTTCGCTCGTGACAGTCATTGTGAAACAATTGGAAACATGTCCCCCTGCAAAATCACCCGGCAGACAAGGGAAACTACCCAGGCCTCGGTTTTTCACCACCCCATAAGGGTGTGTCTCTTTTTGCGGGGAATCTCAAAAAATGGGTCTTCCTGGAAAGGTCCTTTAAACCAAACCAAATGAGATCATAAATCTTAGCGGGTGGATTCAATGAAGCTCTTCCTCATCGAGCCCCCCGCGGCAACCCACGTTCACATCTAATATCCCATGTAGCCGCTGTCGTCAGCCACACTGCCGTCACCACCGTCACCGTCACCAACCATCGCGCCAATCACACCTGGAACTACATCATCCGAGGGTTGTTTGAAGTCGGTATCGACCTTGTTCTGGTCAACGCCCACCAGGAGGTTAATGGGGATCCGCATGTATTGCCAAATGGCGTGCGCCAAAATGTATATCATGCTGACAGGATACTGGATGCCACCGATAACCAGGCCGAACAAAGCAGCAAGGATGGCAGGAGCTGCAAGCAGGTAGGTGATCACCACTCTACCCTTCCACCCCGTGTGGCAGCCCCGCACCAGGCAGGCCAGCAGGGACACCAGCTCAACGCCAAAGACGATGAGCCCCGCCGATGCAAGGCTGCTACTCTCCGCGAGGAGGGGTGATACGCCAGTTGGACACCAGTCGTCGTGCAAGGCAACGACATCGCTGTAGGAGCCACTGCAGCCCCCGTAGCCAGAGCAGACGCTGGAATAGTAGTAATCCGAATCGATATCCCGCGGACTGGTTCCTGGATGAAACGGATTTCCGTCAGTCTTCCATTCAAGAGCAAAGCCGTTAATGCAGAAGAGCAAGGCAGTTCCCGAGACGAAGAGGGACATCATGGCCAAGCGATGTGCCACGATTTTAGGAGTTCTTGGGCACATGCCACCGGTGATGGATAAGGCAAAGCTTAGCGCCGCGCCGAAGAACAAGGACACTTTGATGGTGAGAATTCCCAGCACCAAGAACTGTGTCCAGTCTAGGCTTCGCAGCTGCTCCGAGTTTTGAATGGTCCAGCTGGGGCATTTCGCCAACAGCTGTGTCGCTGGATCGCTGTTCTCGTCGATGATCGTCAAAACCGTTGTCAACATCCCGGTCTTGCCATAGCACACCATCCTGGGCTGCGCTTCCCCCCGTAACCACAAAGTCAACATGTTGTACCTTTAGTAAAGCAACTGGTTTCCAAAAGATCGCACCAACAAAACAGCCATAGACAGCATTGTACAGCCATGAGTCAGCAGCAGCACGCAAAGCATAAGGTCCACTGCCCAATAGGTGAGTGCCAACAAGGCTGAACAAAGACCCATGGCTCCAGAAAAGAACGAGCACGGAATTACTCTCGAGGAAGATGCTGGCAAACGGTCATGCTCATGACTCCAAAGCCAGGCTGGGCAGAGACTACAAACTCACCAACTGCCGCAACTCACACATCGAGCACTATCCAGGTGTGGCTCAGGAACAAAAAAAACGCAAAATCAAACATAGATGAATGGGTGAAAATGTGCTGTCCCACTCCTTCATGTTCAGCCATAGTGAATGTTAAAAGAAATGCCCCAGCGGTCACAAGCGCCTTGCGGAAAGGATGGCAGAGCGGGATGAACCGGATACCTGGCAGTGAAGCGAAGGACCCTAGAAAAACAAACGCCCAAGCAGGGCGAGTTTGCTCAATCAGAGTCTACCCCACCCTTTTGTAATCAACACTTGCACGATTGGAATATCTCTGGCTAGTTTGGACATACTTGTTGAGGTCAATCTCTGCATCTTTCATCCAGTGCTGACATGGTATTGCCTGGCCTGTTTGCGTCCATCGGCTTCAAGGCAAGGCCCTGCATTGGCATTCGCCGGCCCCTTCTAGGCCCCCCTACAACAAACTGGGAGTATTCACCAAGGGTTGAATTACAGAAATCTTAGAACAAGAACACGGCTAGGATCCAGTGACCCTACATTTAATGCCGAAACGAGGTTATTATAGTTGCCGGCGTGCTATACAAAAGGCATGTTCCGTGTGCATTTGCTTTGGCAGAGCTAGAAATATTCGGCAAACCAAATAGCAAACCATTCTCCCTTAACACCCTTTGATTTCTGTGTACGGCGGTTCGACTGCAAGAAACACCCGGGCTATTTTGCTCTCGCGGTTTGAGCAGCACACTGCTACACGGGTAAGCTGGCCAGGCCTCTGAACCCCAATCATGTCGGTGTGTCCTATGACTGTCCTGCGCAGAACCGTAAGAAAAACAGGCACGCATAGGCACGCCAATGGAAATGGAAGACAGCCCACTGAGGCCCACCCGTTCTGTTTCCATGTTCTTCTTCCTGTGTCTTCCTCTGTCTGTTGGTTTTCTGCCGGCGCGAAGCCTTTTGGCACTTTTCCAGTCTAAGTATGACGGACAAACCGCAAAATTGATTAATTTTAATTGTCAATGTGTGCTTCCCTTTGGAGGTAAACAGTCACTGGAAAAACAAAGGCAAAACCACTGGGCACCCAAACAAGCAACCCAACCTTTTTCGGCTCCTGCGAATTTCTGCGAGCCCTGGTCCCTGCTGCGAATTGTTGCAAAGAACTTCCGGGTGGCGAAGTCCTAGCCCCGACACGTGAAACGAAAGGGGACACCTTTCTCCTGGGGCCCCATGAGCGACAAGCTGAGGCAGCAGGCTTAAAAACAAAAACACGCAAGGCACGGCGTGAGCGGCTGGCAAGCAGTCAACGAGCAACACACAAGTCTATTGAGGTTGGAGCCGCGTGGCGAAGGGCTTGGCTAACCACCGCTGCAAACGCAAGCGGTCAGCGTGCCTACGCGGACGCCTGCGCGGGCGGATGTTCAGTTGGAGAATGGCAACTGTTTGAGTGCGTCGGCATTGGCAAGCACCGCTTGAAGCAGTTGAGCCAGTTGAGCAGCTGTTTGTTTTCCGTAGCCGTGCTGCAACAAGGGCGGCAGCCCGCGCCCGCGCAGCGCGGCGGCGGGGCTTGGCCGGCGGAGTCTGCGGGCAAGAGAGTCGTGTCAACAGCCATCAGCAGCACCATGCAAGACATTTTCGAGCGCCTTTTCCGTCGCCTCCCCTCCTGGAAAAACTGGGCAAAAGAGGTCTTCGCGGCTATCACTATGGAGGCCAGCTCCACATATATGCATCATCCCAACGCGCATGACAAGGCATCGAGAACTCGAACCCGGGGCGCGCACGTTCGGGCCCAAGTGCCCCGCGCCGTTGCAGCGGCTTTTGGCCTCGGCCGCATCGTGGCCCTTCAGAAGCCAAACGGCCAGGTTCGTGGCATTGTTGCCAGTGACGTTCTGCGGCGCCCCTCTTCGCTGCTACTACCCTCCGTGAAGGTCGCGCACATTCGTGTCTGTCGATGACCTGGTGACAATTCTGCGAGGGGCGGACGTAGGAAATCGCGAAGAAGCCAGTCAATTTGGCAAGACATTTGCAAGCCTGTATGCTCACATCTGCCAAGGTCCGTTTCATGCATATTCTGCCGCGCGGGAAGACGCGCTGGAGTTCACCGCAAAGATCGCAGGGAGCATTGTCACCCCTCCTTCAAAAGGACCCAGGCCATGATCACTGGCGCTGGTGCCATCATGAAGAGGGAGCTCAAGAGATCAACGCTAATGACATTTTCGTTTTTTTCCTCCGCGCACATTTTTCCGCCGCGCGTCTCTCACCCCCCCACCCTGCTTATGCGATTTTTCCGGGCACAGGAAGCTTCACGAGCTGCTTTTTGAAACGCAGTTTCCTCTCCGACAGCCTCACCGGAGCCAGCTGGCAGCCGGGGGCTGTTCCACATGCGCTTCAAAAATGTCACGAATGCAGGGCGGAGCGCCGTGTGCAGCGGCGAGCAAAGAGCACCATTGCCGCAGCCGCTCCGGGACCGAACAGGCGAGCTGCCGGGCAAAGTGTGTGGCATGCCGGCCCTTATGTGAAGCGCCCGCAAGAAGCGACACTGCGCAAGCTCGCCGATCCCCGAGACCAGGTGCCGTCACGGTAGCATCCGCGACGCGTGCAATTGCCAGCCCTGCGGTCAATCAGCAAGGCCTGCAGCCTAATCGTTGCGCTGGGGGGCGCTCCCCCAGGAACAGTCGCCCAATCAGCGACCCACGCTTCCGCGAAACCGGCACGACGTCCTGTATAACCACGTAGCCAAGCTGAGCCCAAACCGCCCATAGCAGTTGGAAACCCTGCAGCAACTCGCGCATACGCGAGACCTTCAGGCGCCGAGAAAATGTCCATGGGAACACCGACCTTCGCAGCCATCTTTTTAATGCGGACGACTCTGGTGGAAAAATCTGTATGTCGGTTGCACTGCAAACAGTTGATGGCGCCGCGCGGATTGAGTGTCTGTGCTGTAGTAGGCCAGCAGCGCAGCTGCGAGGGCCGCGTCCGCCGCTGCGATGGAGGGGCAGTCGGCCGTGATGCTCAGCATGTCGGCAGGTTTTGCTGCACCATTGCTTGTAGGTCGGCCGGCAGTCGAGTTGCGCCTGAGACGAACATACATTCGATTCGTCCAGAATAATTTGTGCAGCAGCGGAATCGCACGAGTAGATCTGCATTTTGTCGGCGGCCTTGCGTCCGATGCGATGTCACGGGGCGATCACCGTCATGTAGTGGGCATGCCCTGTGGATGTCTGCTTGCCAGACCCTCCCAGGAAAATCCCCAAAAGGTCGTCGCGCGTGCGCTACGCGCTTGGCATCACCTTTCAGGGTGTCCATGAAGTTCAGGTTGAACTCAGCGCGCTTTCCCTTCTTCGCGCCACTCGATTGTGTACTGGTCATTGGGCGTCACGAGGTCGCCGATGAAGTTGAACCGCGTTGCATCTTACAGAAAGACCGAAACTGACGGGGAATAATGGGCAGGTTGTGCTAACGTTTCGCGTGCTCCACCACGACTTCCTTTTGTGCAGCGTTTATGTTTGTGTGTTTTTTTTCGGCCCCGAAGCAACCGCCACATTTGCAGCAGCAACGACAGCGGCAGCGGCAGCCACAAGCCCAACCGCAAATGCACCGACAACAGCAGCAGCCGCGCGCTATCAAGCATAAGCCGCGCTGATTCCCGGCGCAAGTTGGCCAGAAGGATGTCCCGGCAAAGGGCGGCGGGCTCAGCAGGCTGAAAAAACAGGACCTCGGTCGGAGCCGGCGTTCCCTGACTTTGCGATGGAGCAGCATGCGACGCGATCTAGGCTAGCCAGTCCGCGGCGGACGCGGCCATCTGTGATGCCCAATGTCCGATGGGTAGCTGGGAGTTCGCGGCTGCCGGTGTCCGGATCGGTGGCTGCCGTGCGCGAAGCTCGCCTCCGAAAAAAACAATTGTCAGTGAGCGGGTGGGTGGGTGGGTGGGTGGGTGGGTGGGTGGGTGGGTGGGTGATTGAGTGAGTGAGTGAGTGAGTGAGTGAGTGAGTGAGTGAGCTGAGTGAGTGAGTGAGTGAGTGAGTGAGTGAGTGAGTGAGTGAGTGAGTGAGTGAGTGAGTGAGTGAGTGAGTGAGTGAGTGAGTGAGTGAGTGAGTGAGTGAGTGAGTGAGTGAGTGAGTGAGTGAGTGAGTGAGTGAGTGAGTGAGTGAGTGAGTGAGTGAGTGAGTGAGTGAGTGAGTGAGTGAGTGAGTGAGTGAGTGAGTGAGTGAGTGAGTGAGTGAGTGAGTGAGTGAGTGAGTGAGTGAGTGAGTGAGTGAGTGAGTGAGTGAGTGAGTGAGTGAGTGAGTGAGTGAGTGAGTGAGTGAGTGTAAATGGGTGGGTAAATTCGTCGGTGAATGCGTCGGTGAATGAGCGAGTGAAGTGAAGTGAAGTGAAATGACGTGAAGTGACGTGAAGTGAATGAAGTGAGTGACCGGACCAACGCCGGCACCCGGAACCAAGGCCTGAGCAACAACACGTTGCGTTGCCAGACGTCCGCACGAGGCGCGGAACACCGTGGTTTTCACGGCCTCGAGAGCAGCCCCAGCAGGAGCAAACAGCTGGCTTTTCGTGCCGTTGCTCCACGCTGCCACGGGGAACTTGGACAGGGCAGCATCCCAGCAGTGGGCAACACATGCGTTTCTTGGGGTTGCATGACGGCGGCGCTCCAGCATTTGCAGCGCGCTCCGCCTATCCCTGTAGAGACAACCCTTCGTGTGCTGGAAGTGCAGCAGGCGCCGGCTGTGGCAGAAGGGCGTGTGAACTCACAGCCCCTGAGATTGCTCTGCCGCGTGTGCTGCAGCAAGCGTCGGCCTCTTTGCCCGCCAGCGCGACAGTGTTCCTCACCGGAGCAGTCGAGCGGCGCACAACCCCGGAGAAGTACATCCCAGCCACAGCTCAGGAAACCTTGTCGTTACTCTTTCTAGGG